GGGTATTCCAGAATGACAATGACCCAAAACACACGACCAAGGCAACAAAGGAGTGGCTCAAGAAGAAGCACATTAAGGTCCTGGAGTGGCCTAGCCAGTCTCCAGACCTTAATCCCATAGAAAATCTGTGGAGGGAGCTGAAGGTTCGAGTTGCCAAACGTCAGTCTCGAAACCTTAATGACTTGGAGAAGATCTGCAAAGAGGAGTGGGACAAAATCCCTCCTGAGATGTGTGCAAACCTGGTGGCCAACTACAAGAAACGTCTGACCTCTGTGATTGCCAACAAGGGTTTTGCCACCAAGTACTAAGTCATGTTTTGCAGAGGGGTCAAATACTTATTTCCCTCATTAAAATGCAAATCAATTTATAACATTTTTGACATGCGTTTTTCTGGATTTTGTTGTTGTTATTCTGTCTCTCACTGTTCAAATAAACCTACCATTAAAATTATAGACTAATCATTTCTTTGTCAGTGGGCAAACGTACAAAATCAGCAGGGGATCAAATACTTTTTTCCCTCACTGTATGCCTCCAAAGCTCCTCTTCCAGTGCAACACAAGACTCGGCTCTTTTTCCATTGCCCGTGGTTACAGCCATTGGTACCTTTCTATTTACCAGTGCCACTCCTTTGTGTATATGAACCTCATAGGCATGTGACCATTTACCCCCCTTTCAAGTCATCGGATGTCACAATTCTGTCATGATTCAAGAATGTTTTTGTCATTTATTTGGTCTCTTTTTTATTGTTTTGCAGATGCTTTGTCTATGCTGATGTTCATCTATAATATCCCAATGTAACATTTGTGTATATTAAATAATCTCACATCCACGGTTGATGCATTCCTCTTGAATACTTGTTTAATGGATAAATCATTGCATCAGGCTTACTGCCCAATATTTAAAAGTTATTTCATTTTATTTCCCTGCATGCAATGTTATTTTTATTAGTTCTCAATGACAGTGCTGTATATGCATATCGTCTATAAAAAGTCTTGGTTTGTGGAGTGGAGAGTGCTTGGCAGGGAGTAGAGTGACAGATAGTGGGGAGAGGTATGCAGCAGTGACTCCATATATTTTTATTATATTCCATAGACCTAGCAAGGGTGTACGCTGGCGCTCGGCCAACATCTCCAATATCATCCCACGCGTGTGTGGGCTTGCAGGTCAAGGCGGCGTTTACTCGGGCCTACAACAAAGAATCGCACCTCACGCCGTACTCACTGGCCGTGGGCCCCAAGAAGGGGCGACGAGGCCCTGGAGGGGGTGGAACGAACGAGGAGGGAGAAGATTTTGACGGAGCAGAGGGCGATGGAGCTGCAGCTGTGCCGGATTCGGCCAGCGAGCACGAGGATGACATGGACATTTCCGCCGACGCCATGATTAAGGTTGGGGGGGCATTTACTAAATTTTAAACGAAACTAAAACTATGTTTATTTCACCAGGTAAAGCCCACTGAGCTATATAGCTCTTTTTCAGAAGTGACATAGCCACAAATCATAGCTCAATGAAGTGGCTCATCATATGGAAATGTATAGCGGCCAAATACTCAGAACACATCTTCTAAATGTGAAGGGAAAACCCAGAGGACCCGGAGAAAAATCCATGTGACCCTAGGGAGAACATGCAAACTCCAAAGATACAGGTGTCAGGGTCAGGATCGAACCCATAACCTCCTGTATACCAGGCAAGGGAGTTAACATGTCACCACCGTGGCGCCCCCTACCGTGACTGCAGTAGCCTTGGTCACGCTGGCGTGACTGGAGGGGGGACCGAGCTCTGGCTCGGCACCCTTTATTATGAAATGAGAGCTTCATTTGATAAACAAATTGTCTGCAATAGTTGAAAGGGCCTAGATAAGATGCGCAGACTCTTTGTATATCCAAGGGGTGTGATAGCTAGAGCATAATGCATGGACAGAAGCATATGATATTTTAATTCATTCAACGGTTTTATTTATTCTGTTTAGCATTTAATATTTGTTTAAAGTATTTTTTACAATAACTGTGTTGTGCCCCCCTGACTTTGTATACGCCCCGCTTTAACAAGGTCACGCTGGCCTGCGGGCAGTTTTTGGCTTATGTTCAGAGTCGGTTGTTTTCTCAAATGCTTCGTTATAAAATTTCAATCACAGCTACTGTAGGTGGGCGCCCATTGAGCCAGCATGTTAATCTTGATGAAAACAGCTAAAATCCAAATGTGCAGAGGAGCAAGAAAAAACATATGAAGGCATGCTATGATAAAACATAGCGAACTTAAATGTTTACAATTAAGAATAGTATCCAGGTTAATTGCCACATCATTTGCAATTCGTCCGATCTTAACAGATCTCAGAAGTTACGTCGAGTTGAGCCTGGGATATGACTTGTGTGGGTGACTATCATTCAGAATAGGTTGTTATAGGATGTGGGACTATGTGGTGGTCAGGACAGAAAAAGCCATTCTATACTCCCCCATCTGTGCTTCCAACCTTCATCAACCCACACTGACCAGCTTGGTTAAGTATTGTACATGACCTGCACGGTGTGCAAAAGCCCTTATCTAGCAGTGGTTTGACAAATGGGCTGTATATTTACACATTAATGCTAACATATGTAAGATATTGTACAATTTGAAGTAACAAAGCAATTCTCACTGTGATCATGCTTATTTACTCTCACGTTGATCCACAGCAAAAGAAGAAGCCAGCGAAAAAAGCATCCAAGGAAACGAGCTCCCCCAGCAAGGCCGGGACGAGCAGCAAGGCCGGGACGAGCAGCAGGGCTGGGGCGAGCAGCAGGGCCCGGGCGAGAAGCAGGGCCGTAAAGGGTAAAAAGATAAAGTAGCGTTCGCAGAGTCACATCCGATTGTAAATAACGATGAACCGCAGGGCCCGGAGTTGGCTGATGATGAGTTCACCACGGCGGCTTTGAGTGGTCCCAAATGCCCACACTATGATGCAGTTGAATCAACTCTAAAGAAGTGGTGTTTAATTTTTTAGGAGGTCCACTGGGATATGTGTGTGTTGAAGGAGGGGTGCTCACTAGAATGCCTCTGGATTTTCTTTACAGGAATATTTGGGATTTAAAAGTCACACAGCATTTTCTCAAGATCCTCCTGACCCCTCAAGTGGGTTCCCAAACACTTGAGCTGTAAATGGTTTTGATATACAACCCCCGTAGGTTTTTCGCAGTTGTGCTGTACAGCTCGCTGATACCTATGTGTTCAACACGATGTTGGACGTTTCGTACTACATGGAGCGAAATGAAGCTTCCAGCATGTGAGGTGAAACTTCAGACATGGTGCCAAATAGCACGCAGTGTAACCCAGAAACACGAGAGAGCCATGACTTTTACGATCAACGTTATGAAACTAAATCACTTGACATTGACAAACCATACATCTTACCCATTTACACTGGTTGGGTAATCGCTACGGTTTCGCACAACTGTATTTCAGTTTTCTGAAAAGGAACAAGTAAAAGTCAACGCCTCTTGGTGTTGAGTTTGTCCCAATTTCATCCTTGCACTTGGGCCAGTTTTCTTGGACTCGTAACTGTGGAGTTGGTAGTATTTGTATATAGGTCTGAGGTTGCTGCTTTGTCTTACGATGCAGGTGGGTTCATGGGTTTGCCACAGTGCATCATGATCCATACATTAAAACCATGTCGTAGGCTGAAAATTTGTAAATAAGTATGTGTTCTGCATATAAGCTCATACTATTCAAAGGTATGCTCTTCCTAGGTGAAAGCTGTAACAAGGTTTTTTAGGTAAAAATACTTTTTCTTATTAGAAAACCTGTATTGTAGCTGACCGATAGAAAGTGTTATTTTTGTAAAACAATCTTTTTGATGGAATCAACCTCCAGTAAACCCATTAACAATTTACCAAAACCAACTTTTGTTCAAACAACACATTTTCCTAAGGATTACCACAGCACCTTGTTCGATTGTTTCTAAAGATCCAGTCCATTTTTACGAGTGGGAATGTCAAAATATCAAGAATCTTTTGCATACAAAAATTGGCATTTATCACTTGTGTGTCTCGCTTGGCATCTTGCCTGCAGTGAACAAAAATGTGGGGCTCAACATGCATGTCAAGATGAGCAATAAACACTTGAGCAATGAATCATATTCGTACAGTGTGTCAGCTCATGTGTGGTATTGTGATCTGAATGGCCCTGAATAATGGTATGCCACTGGTTCTCTGCTCGTTTTACCACAGATAAATGGCAATGGTCAACATGAACTATTTACCTTCATATGTTTGTTCCAAAAAATATGATGTTATTTCACTTGTTCTAACATATATATAAAAAAAATTATCACTGATATAGTTAAGCGTGAAACTTAATCATGCCCGTGAATGTTCACTTGTCATGAACATGTTTAGCATTATACTGTTTAAATGTCATACAGTGACATCTTGTGATGCATTTATAAATTGCCAGTATTTAAAGAAATTCAAGTGCCGTTTCGGTCCATATGCAGACAACAATTTGTGCATGATAAACCTAGCAATATACAGTACATACAGAAAAATTTAGAGCTGTGGGGGTGGATTGATGGTTGCAGTGGTTAGGGCATTGAGCTGTAAACCCAGAAACCTGAGTTTGATTCCCAGTCAGTCGCCTTGGCCCCAGTGATCAGCGTGATAAAGTATGGTCAAACAACCCGCAACATGGTGTGGAGAGGCATTCTACAACAGATTGACATTGGATGTAAATATATATTTAGATTTTTAACTATGCCCACTTTATCCTTTGTATTTTCGTGGTTTTGCGCTTTGTACGTTGCTTTGAGATGTCCTGGGATTTAAGCGCCTAATAAATGCAATTGCTTATGTAAAATGCTTAAGTCCATTTCCTTTCAGGCACTACAACCCTGACTTTTTGCATCCATTATTAATTTATAAATATAAAAAATCGATGTCTAAACCTTTTATATCCACTTTTGCACAGAGGTTGAGCATAATTGTCTTGACTCAAACGCCCACTTTGATAGAAAATTGATCAAAGCAGTTTCGTCCTTTAAAAAATATCTCCACTTTATTTGAATGTTGCTTTCTTCGGTTTGCGGGAAGCATATCGGTCAGACTCGCGGGGTGACTTGAGGTCGGAGAGAGCCACGTGTACGCTCTCGTCGGGCCGCACCTCCACATGGTGCATGCGCTGACGTACGCCCTTCGAGCACCAGCCGCTGGTGGGCGCCGAGCCCGTGAGATTTGCGGGCCTATAGAATCCCTCGCCAGATGCCAGCCCAATGCGGTAGCCATGCCAAGGACAGATAAGGCAAGCCGTACCATCTGGAAGCTCCTGTAGATAAACACATCTTGGTAAAAAAAAAGTTTATTCTAGCTCTTAACCCTTTCCCGTTTCAATGACGTATGTGTACATCATGAAAACGAAACCGGAAGAAAAACTAAGATATAACTTGATCGGTACTGAGGCTCCCATAACGTCATGTGGGAGGGCATGTGGCACAGTTTGGCGCCAGCTAGCATAGAGTGTGGTCATGTCGCTCCAATTCTCTGCGGTGGGTAAAATGTATTTTAAAACAACAGTGATATGCCTCTAAAATTACTCTTGAGCCGCTTGCGTGTTCCGAGATTCAGAGGTGAACAGGACCCACCCTGAAACTTGCATACGTCTCTGAATGGAAAAGGGCTAAGATCTTGTAGTTTTTAGTTTAATGCGTAGCTTTCACGACCAATGTTATCCATAAGAGGTTTTTGGGTTAGATCTCGCAATCTGCGCAACCTACCCAAAAACCTCTCATGAATAGTTTGTTTTCACTCCGACCCTTTCCACTTTCCACCTGTAGCCTTTTCATACAATTTTTATTGCCCTATTTTCCTCCACATCTCTTACGATTAACCTCCCTTTTGACTCTTAAATTGTGTAGTACACCCGCTGCCTGAGTTGGAGCCGTGTGTAACCTGATGTCACAACTTGAGGTTCTCACCTCAATGTCTCCCTGGTGCAAAGGTCCTCCTGCATCTGGAAAAGAAATCAAGTGATTAGCACCATACCTTCAATTTCATTTTAAGATTTGTCCTTGTCACAGTTAAAATTTGTTCAGTTTCCAAAAATATATGAAATCATCTTGTATGAAACCAATGGTTTTGGAAGCAGATTAATCCATAACATCCTGCTTGTCAAATTAAGGTTGTTTTGAAAACGTCGAAACACCTTATTCTTATGCATACAATATGTATAACCATTAGTAGCAGTTCAATCGTGCCTAATAGCAGAGCTACTTTTCAAGTATTCTATGGGTCTTTCGGTAAAGCCACGTAGATAGAAAAATAATTAAAAAAAATATCACGACGTTTCGATCGCAACACAAGCAATCGTCTTCTCTCACCTGAAGACGATTGCTTGTGTTGCGATCGAAACGTCGTGATTTTTTTTTCTACGTGGCTTTACCGAAAGACCCATATAATATGTATTCCTGCAGTCACGAAAGCTTTAAGTCAATATTTACTTTTCAAGTGTTGTAAATTGTGGTTGTAATATATATCTAATATAAGCCATAGAAATACAGATCTAACTAATTTAACCTCCCCAACAGCAGTGATGATGACCCATTGGCTGCACAGTGCACACGAAAGTAACAAAGAGACCCACGGTAGCAGCGCCAGTCCAGGGCGTAAAACTGTCCCTTGTGGTGGAAGACGGCGATGTCTCGGCCACCAACACAAACTCGTTTCTTTCTCGCGCTGGCCAGTTCTGTGGCAGAGCCCAAGTGATGCCAGGTCTGCGAGTCTTTAAAAGAAATAGAATATTATCTCAAAGCGATTAAACAGGGTTTCTCAAGTCTCAGACAATGTATTAATGACTTAACGCAAAAAAAAACAATCACAAATAAATAGTTTTGCGCTTAATTTCGCCAAATTACAGCTTTTGAGAATTACAAATATTCGTTTTACCGTCGTCCGTTAAACATCACTTCACCAGAGATGGTGGAAAAGTGGTGCCCCCTATTGGGATTGCAGAAGTAATTCTGTGATGTCTGATTCTGTGGGCCATTCTCTGCCTCAGCAGTTCTCTCGCTATATGTTTTCACCCGATGACTGCTTGTGTTGCGATCGAAACGTGATATTTTTATTGTTTTCTTATTTTTCTTTCTACGTGGCTTTACCGAAAGACCCAAAGAATACTCTTACACTTATCTGCGAGATTGTGACAAGGTTGTTTTGAAATCGGCTATGCATATTTATAACCACTAAGCAGGTAATCGTGCCACATGGATTCCTTTCATGAAATTACACCGATAACAGTCTGGATAAAACTGCAGCGGGGTAGGAAGATATAAATGGGTCACCATGACTTGGCTGATCTGCTTGATGTTCTGAAGTCATCGAGCCTCATCCACCAGTCTGGTCAAATGTCAAGACCCGGCCTTTATCTGCACGCACAGACATCAGCCCCTGATTCCATGACCAAGTCAAACTTCCGGACTTTCGGCAGTTTTGCACGGAAGAAAAACAGATACAAACAAACTTTATAACTAGGTGTGAACCGATTGACAAAAGTATATTTTTTACACCGGAAATCGTGGTGAAAAGTATGGTACTAAATAGCACTATAACCATAGGAATAAAATAAAGCGTCTTGCATGGCTACTGGTGTAAAATAAATCCATCACCTTAAGCACTCGGATAACGTGTGTTGCGCCCGAAACGCCGTGATTTAATTTACTTTATACCTACTTTAAATCTAGATTAAAACTTAAAATCTGGATTTAACGTGCATTTGTTTCGCCAAAGGAGAACTCAAGAGTGACTTGGGTAATAGCCACTGCATCACAACAAAATGTTTACGGTATACAGTATATTGAGCCTCTGAAGGCTCAGACCTGCGTAGCTTCCGAGATCTGGCGCGTTCCAGGTGATTTGGTCATAGACTTAAGCGCCTCAATCTGGTTATAACTTAAAGAGTCCCTGGATCGAGGTGGTTCTCTGCCACCCCGGCTACAGTGATAATTGTAAAAGTGCAGACCCTGCAATTAAAATGTTAGCTCACGCCACTGCTGGCGGAAGGGGTCTCCACCAAAGCGAACTCTAGTACAAGAGGATATTTGGTCTACTCTTCCACTTTGACTCTTCCAATTTTGATTTGATGCTTTCGTGACTGCAGGAATCCATACTCTTTGGTTCTTTCGGTAAAGTCACGTGACTTTACCGAAAGAACCAAAAGAGTATGGATTCTTCCACTTTGACCAGATACTCATCTGACCAGATACTCATCTAGTGGAAGAGTAGGAGGTGGGCAAACCCACCGCAACACGCGACCTGCTTGTGGTACAGCATTTTTTGTTTTAAATAGCACCATTTACATTGAGACCTCCTTTGCCAGTAACAAGGTATAGTAATAGGTTTTACCCTTTTAACTGGCACAAAAACTAGGGGTTTTTTACCCTTTAAACTGGCACAGAGTTGTCTCTTTTGTTTGCGTTTTGACTGCTTGTGTTGTGGTTATTGCAAACATGATGCCTTGAATAAAGGTGTCAGTTTTTGTGCCAGTTAAAAGGGTAAAACCTATTCCTAAATCTTGTTTCTGGCAAAGGTCTCATAATGTAAATGCTCACCCCGAGCCCTCAATACTCTGATAGTGCGCTGTTTTTGAGTTGTACGCCTTTTGGCGTCTTCTGGTCCAACACCAATGGAGACTAGGCTCTAAGAAAAGCTGTCTCGGGTGTGGACCAATCAAATTCAAGGACAGTGCATATTATTATCAGAGTTGTCTTTTTTGTTTGCATTTTGACTGCTTGTGTTGTGGTTATTGCAAACATGATGCCTTGCATAAAGGCGTCAGTTTTTGTGCCAGTTAAAAGGGTAAAAACCTATTACTAAAATAGCACCATTGTTTCAATTCAATCGAACCGGCGGCCCACTGCATCCCAAGCCGAGTGTGCTGTCCATCAGCAACCACGGCAGCAGCTTTTCCCTGCAAGAACGGCACCGTGGTGCCGTGAATACCCACACAAGTGTGTGCGAGTCGTCCAGACCAATAGACGGAACCTAGCAGTCGCGGATGATCTGACATTCAATGGTTGATCGATCGTTAATCATAATCGATCACATTCTATTCTTTCGCCCCCCCCCCCAAAAAATGCATGCAACAGATCGTATACGAATCAATTTTTTTCTTCGATTCACTCATCGATTGAAGCTGTCCATAAACACCGCATCGCGCGCTTTCGGATGCGCTTCTGCGGCCGTCTGGAACGCTCTTCCTTCCGGTATTGGACATCTGTGAATCTACTGGACGTGTGAAAAAGAGATTTAAAGCTCATCAGATTCCTCCAGCGTAAATATTCTGATATTAAGGAGACCACTGGAGCTATTCGATTTTAAATCTAGAAAACTTAATTTATTTAGAACTGCTCGTTGTTGTGTTTTAGTTTATTGTCCTTCCGCCCGCACCTTCGATTAGCACGGTCGGCGACGTGACGGTGCGAAAGAAGTTCAACACAATCCAAACGATCCGGAAAAATCGATCGTTAATCATAATCGCATACGAATCGATTTTTTTAAAAGATTCGCTCGCATCGATTAACAGTTAACACATCGCGCGGGAGATATAACGGTACAAACTATTCTGCAAAAAAAAGAATCGATCGTTAAAGGAATCGCGATTCTCGCGCGCTGCCGCCGCCACCTATTACCAATTCCGCCTCGCGTGCCCAGCCGGGAGTGACGTCAAAAGGCAATAAGCAACGCCCGCCTAGTGACGTCACCTGCGAGGCGTGTTCTGGAGATAGACGTCACGCCGCACACAATTACATGACGCCATACCGCGTCGTGCCGTGACTTGTGGGTCTCTTGCGCGTGACGTCATTTATTCATAAAAAAGGTGGGGGGGGGGAGTTAGATCACGTAAATGTGTCGTAAAACCCGCCACCACCCGACACAGCCAATTGGTGAGATTTGTCGCATAAACATAACGTGACAATTACTACAACCGAAAAATCCATGCAAAAACAGCAAAGTCTTCCAGAAAAAAAACCGTATATGAACGCTGTGTGCAAAAATCCCAGTGGGATGCAAGTCAAACAGTTTCATTTAATATTCTTGGTTCTTTCGGTAAAGTCACGTAGAAGGGAAACAATAAAATAACAATATTTTTTTATATTTGTTTTATTTTATTGTTTCCCTTCTACGTGACTTTACCGAAAGAACCAAGAATATGAATCCCTGCAGTCACGAAAGCTTTAAATCAAAATTTAAGTTTCATTTCAGTTTAATTTATTTGGTATAGCCCTGTGAGCCATTCGGCTCTTGATTCGGGTACAACCGCAACAAACAAAAGACAAAAAAATAACAATAACACATTCTTGGTTCTTTCGGTAAAGTCACGTTGAAGGGAAACAATAAAATAATAAAAAAATAAAACAATAAAATTCTCACGTTTCGACTGCAACACAGTCATCATCAGGTGATGATGATCATCAGGTGATGATGACTGCTTGTGTTTTATATATATTTTATTATTTTATTGTTTCCCTTCAACGTGACTACCGAAAGAACCAAGAATATGAATCACTGCAGTCACGAAAGCTTTAAATCAAAAACAATAAGACAATTTAGATGAAACTTATCAGGCTAACTCTGTACTTCAACAAACAAACGTGACTAAACCATACGTTTTCTAAATCAACAAAATAAAGCTATAAAAACACAATGTAACAGTGATCACAGGAACTGTGATTCAAATTTAACAATAAACGATATACACATAACATGTACGACCAAACTTTGCAGCCATAGCTGGCAGCATGAGTCACTCCATCATAACAGCACGAGTATCAGTAGCAGTATAAAACATTTGCAATACACCTTTAAGATCAGCACACTATCATCAAAACTTTGCAGCGGTCATCCGGAGCGATGCATTTGATTTAAGGCCACTCTGCACAAGGGCCGTCCATAAATGACGTCACGCGATTTTGAAGGATTTTTGACCCCCCCCCCCCCTCGGCACACGGCGTCACAAAAAGTCAGACCCCCCCTCAAATATGACGTCACAAAGCTCTGCCCCCCCCCCAAACCATATTTCCATTTTGAAAATAAAACATGCTTCAAATCGCTTAAACTATTGTCATTGTAGTGCGTATTTAATGTGCCGCTGCACTCTGATGTTGTAGGAGAAAACATTTATTTAAAAAGTCTATTTAATTAAGTAGAACGCGTTGTCTATATTTATTTAAAGTTGCGCATTTTGATGTGACGTCACATTTCTCAACCTCCCCCCCCCACCTCGTCACACATCGTCACAAATGTCTGACCGCCCCCCCCCCTCCGAGGTGCGTGACGTCATTATTGGACGGCCCCATAGGAGTGGCAGGTAGGGCGGTGTACAACTCCTCTAGAGCAGTTTTGAGTGAAGACCTCACAAGTGGTGATCCAAGTTGCAGTTTATTGGCGATCGATAGCATTGGCGATCGATAGCATTCCAGACCCTGGGGGCATCAACAGCAAAAGGCCCTTCCCTCCAGTATTTGTACGGCAATAAGGAATGTGAAGCTGGTAGGCGAGCGAGGACCTTAGGTCACGTTTGTTCTTCGAAACAGTGAGGAGATATCCAGCAGGTAGTCTGCTGATTTTTTTTTGGAAAGTAAATCGTACTACGCTCTGTGGATTCCTGCATTCACGAAAGTTTCAAATCAAGATTACATCGGTGTGCTGGAGAGTAAACCCAACAACAACATTTACAAACTCGAGTACGACGTTTCGCTGTTGATTACAAACCAGCTTAATCGGGCCATTAGCCAGAATTGTGAATCGGTTTTCCTACTTATTACGGATACAGTCACATTGGTCGCGAAAGCCGACGCGTTAAACTGACGTCATTCGTGTTGTCTCCGCGTGCCGTTGGCCGTGACGTCATCACTCCGCGACCCGCCAGGCCCGCCCCTCCCCATCAGCTGAGAGCGAAGTCCACGTGGCCCCGTCTCCTGCTGCAGCGGTTGCGAACGGAACGAGGGTGGAATCCCACGTCTTGTAGCAGCAGCAGCAGAACGAGGGTGGAATACCACGTCTTGTAGTAGCAGCAGCAGAACGAGGGTGGAATCCCACGTTGTAGCAGCAGCAGAACGAGGGTGGAATCTCACGTCTTGTAGTAGTAGCAGCAGCAGCAGAACGAGGGTGGAATACCACGTCTTGTAGTAGCAGCAGCAGCAGAACGAGGGTGGAATACCACGTCTTGTAGTAGCAGCAGCATAACGAGGGTGGAATACCACGTCTTGTAGTAGCAGCAGCAGAACGAGGGTGGAATCCCACGTCTTGTAGTAGCAGCAGAACGAGGGTGGAATCCCACGTGTTGTAGCAGCAGCAGAACGAGGGTGGAATCCCACGTCTTGTAGTAGCAGCAGAACGAGGGTGGAATCCCACGACTTGTAGCAGCAGCAGCAGCGACGGAACGAGGGAGCAAGGGTGGAATCTCACGTCTTGTAGCAGCAGAAGACAGTACGTTGCACCGCACCTCCACTCGCCTGACACGCACCTCGATGCTGTTGCTTGTTAAGGTGACAGACATGGGCACGTCACATGACGAACACGACTTAACCGGAGATGTATCGGCATTAGCTACCGGCTCTTCCGTATTAAACTCATTATTTGGCGATGGTTGCTTCTGCGTTGGTCATGATGTACAATTAACAAAAAAAACGGGTTTCGTCTTCAACACTGGCTTTAAATAACATGCAATAGTTTATTTTAAAATAATATATCATGTTTTCACTTGAGGCAGTGATTGACGTGTTGAAGTTATCTTGCTCCGTATGTATGTTGAGGCTGTTGTTGGACGCCCGTGTTGTGTTTTTGTATGCATGGTTAAGCCAACGCACCGGTCACAACAGTACTGTGCAACGTTCATTACGAAGTGGGTACCGAGATCAGGCAAGAGGATCAGATTCATTCAAAGAATCCGGAAGTCGCTACTTGACAATAACTGTGTGTCTATGTTGTGTGTCTCTGTCTGTGTTGTGTCTCTCTCTGTGTCTGTGTTGTGTCTCTCTCTGTGTGTCTATGTTGCGTGTCTCTCTCTGTGTGTCTATTTTGTGTCTCTCTCTGTGTGTCTGTGTTGTGTGTCTCTCTCTGTGTGTCTGTGTTGTGTGTGTGTCTGTGTTGTGTGTGTCTCTCTCTGTGTGTCTATGTTGTGTGTGTCTCTCTCTTTGTGTCTGTGTTGTGTGTCTCTGTGTGTCTATGTTGTGTGTCTCTCTCTGTCTGTGTTGTGTCTCTGTGTGTCTATATTGTGTCTCTCTCTGTGTGTCTATATTGTGTGTCTCTCTCTGTGTGTCTGTGTTGTGTGTCTCTCTCTGTGTGTCTGTGTTGTGTGTCTCTCTCTGTGTGCCTGTGTTGTGTGTCTCTCTCTGTGTGTCTGTGTTGTGTGTCTCTGTGTCTGTGTTGTCTCTCTCTGCTTGTGTGTCTGTGTTGTGTGTCTCTCTGTGTGTCTGTGTTGTGTGTCTCTGTGTCTGTGTTGTGTCTCTCTCTCTGTGTGTCTATGTTGTGTGTCTCTCTCTGTGTGTCTGTGTTGTGTGTCTCTCTCTGTGTGTCTGTGTTGTGTGTCTCTCTCTGTGTGTCTGTGTTGTGTATCTCTCTCTGTGTGTCTGTGTTGTGTGTGTCTCTCTCTCTGTGTCTGTTGTGTGTCTCTGTGTGTCTAAGTTGTGTGTCTCTCTCTGTGTGTCTGTGTTGTCTCTCTCTGCTTGTGTGTCTGTGTTGTGTGTCTCCGTGTCTGTGTTTTGTCTCTCTCTCAAATTTAGTTCAAACCTGATGACGGTTGCTCGTGTTGCGATCGAAACGTCGTATTCTATTATCTAATTTATTGTCTTTCTACGTGACTTCACCGAAAGAATCAAAGTGTAACTAAAAGGAAGGAATGTAATAAAATGTGGGTTGCGTTTGTCTGGCAGGAGACCGCTGCAGGCTGACAACAATAGCAGCAGCAGCAATTCGATACGGAGGATAGTGAATGGTGGAGAGCATCGGATGAATTGTCATAATTATTGTTTACACAGGGAAGCATCAAACCTCTCGATCTGAGTGCAAACCTGTTAACCCCTTGTCAGTGCCTACCTCAGCCCCTTATCAGCGCCTACCTTATATTACAGACCAATTCAGACAGTATTGGTCACCCCCGTGCCTTTAGAAAATCTCAACGTTCATCCCACAAAGTCCCATCACAAGGGAGAAACACAAATAGACACTCGCCACCACTACACTCACCACCACTACACTCACCACCGCTACACTCACCACTGCTACACTCACCACTACTACACTCACCACCAATACACTCACCACTACTACACTCACCACCACTACACTCACCATCACTACACTCAACACTACTACACTCACCACTACTACACTCTCCACTACTACACTCACCACTACTACACTCACCACCAATACACTCACCACTACTACACTCACCACTATTACACTCACCACCATTACACTCGCCACCACTACACTCACCACCGCTACACTCACCACCGCTACACTCACCACCACTACACTCACCACCGCTACACTCACCACCACTACACTCACCACCACTACACTCACCACTACTACACTCACCACTACTACACTCACCACCAATACACTCACCACTACTACACTCACCACTATTACACTCACCACTACTACACGTGTATTTGGCAATACTCTGCAGGTTTTAAATTGTGCACACCGGTACTCTGGGAGTTACGAACATTTTCTTAACACAGCTTCCCGCGTAAAGGGATGATTCAGGCTGACAGGACAGATTTGCATGGCCAATGTCATTTTTAAAGCGTATTTTATGGCACGGTACCGCACATGTGGCCACATTCGTGGTATTACAAAAGAGAATTCGTGTGCGTTTTTGTGTTCCACAGTTTGAGGCCCTCTCGTCGTGGCTATAAACACGTTGACACTGGCCGTTTAGCTCCTGAACATATTGCCATACGCACAAATAGAACAGCAGCTCTGCTTAAGCCGACTTAACA